ATGCGAGAATGTGAACACTCATACACCTCTGCACGCATAAAATCTTGATGAATAGATGTTCATTCTCGAATCGAGCTTTCGACTGGAAATACATACGAGGTGTCCTAGTTTTTCATGGCACGACTGGGAAGCAGAGGATTCCACTTGCAAATGAGCGAATCCCAATACTCAAAATTCAATAAAACGACAAGAAGATCGCACGATAGGTTTCAAGAGAAAATTTCCATCTTCAGAGATTATCTTGTCATGAAAAGAAATTTTTCAGTGTTTCCATGGACATTTGAATTTCTACAATTTTTGACAACGAAAGCACCCGTTGCATGGTCTGAAAAAAATGTCTGAAAGAAACAAACCCAAGATTGTCGAAGTGGAAGATTCACGCTTTAAAATTTGATTGTTGTACGATATCTTTCTCCTTTTTTTTTTTTTTTTTTTTCTTGTCACGAAATGAACAATATAATTCAAATATAGACAGAATTTTATAATTGACTAATAGAAGAGAACGACGACCTCGACATCGAAAAATCGTGGTCTGTTCGATCACGGCTACCGCTATTGTTGAGATTAGCTACGTACTTTAATCTCGTTCTTTCGAACGACACACGTAGACAGATTTCGATTGGTCCGTCGATTGATCAAATCAACGTTTGCATCAGCTTCCAACGACATGCCCTCGACAGCTGTCTTTTCGTTTAACGTTGGATTACGCTTGTTCGAAACGATCATTTCCTCGGACGAAGGGACAACGAAAGAAACGAAGAGACGCGTACACACACTGAACTGTCGCGCTCATTAAAACTTGCCGTCTATCATCCTGAAAGATGTAATAAGTTCCAGAAATTTATACACAAACCAGTTAGGCCAATTAGGACCAATGGGAATTTCCAACATTCCGTTATATGTTTCTAGCGAAATCGAATTGCATGCACGCGTGTCTTATAATTCACATATTTGCAATGTCCAGCCGTATATTTCGTTATCATACATCGATGAGAAAAGAACGACCTGCTCGATTGTAAAGTAAAAGTAAATGACGATAAAAGAGAAAAATAGGAAAGGTTACACTTTCTGATAATGAACGTGAAATAAGTATCTACTCGCGTGACCGTGCGATATAATATACGTATATCGTGCACGATAGAGAGACAACCGCAACGACTATAGATTAACCGTGACGAAAAATTTATCATTCGATAACGGACAAGTTCGACATAATATTTCCACTGGAATTGAGTGAAAGCTATCAGATAATTGCCAGGCCGTGATCACAAAGCACTCGTTGCGCTACGTACTAAATATATCATGCTGATGATGTGAATGAACCCCTCTCCCGACCAAGGCAAACATCACGCGTTTGTCAGTGAAACGTCATTCTCTAGAAATACAGTAGTAGAACTTTATTTAAATTTTAATCAATAGTCGATCTCTAGAAGTCTTGCTGATTGAATGTAAACTCGTATTATGCGAGCGAAAAAAATCACTAATATTATACGAATTATTCTAATTGTATATTCTCTCCTGACAAGTTCACATAGGCGAGCTGGATAGCAAGATGAATCGGATGAAGATAAAAAATTCAATATTACAATTGATAAACTATTGAATGAAGTATGTTATTCAGTTCTTATTTTGATGTGATTCATCTAAACGAAGTTTTACTCTATTAACGTCTATCTTATTATCCTAAGCTTTCGTTATCATTTACGTGAGAATTGGTCACGGGTCGGGACACCACAGAAAGTCCAATTTATAGCATGTGCCGATACAGTGATTAAAATAAAATTAAAACGAAAAAGAAATTAACATAATTATTACCCTGATCGAGAGAAATCTAAAGACATTTGTCTTGTCCTTATTTCTTACCAGCAATATTAACTTAGTCAAATATTCTAATTATCCTCTGCTTCGATAACTTTTCTTATCGTTTATGTGAGGACTGGTCACGTTCGAGAAATCATGAAAAGACAATTAATTCCGTGCAGCTTACGACACGTGCCGTGTCCTAAAGTAACCAATATAAAAGAAATCTCTAATCGACCCATTCTATACACACCGTATGTCACGTGCAGGCACGAACTATCTTCATATTTATTAGGTGGTCCCTACTCTCAAACAGTGAGTCACTGTTTCTTTTAGTTTCGTTCACGATGCTTTTCCATCGTATCTGCATACAATGTTTGTTAAATATCCACGTTTCACATTCACAGACGCGTCTTATAAAATAAACGCAGTTAGATCCTTCGTGTAAAATCGTTTGCAGCAAGAAGGAGGTAACTCCAATTTTCGACACATTTTCTGCTACATGTTTTTTTATGTCATAAAATTGGTTTTAAGTAACAAATATAGTAGTTTTGTAACACAGAATGCTTTTACAGTGCAAAACTGTATTTAATCCTTCAACCTCTATTAGAAGTTATTTCCACAGTACTAAACTTCATAAATATATACAGACGAAATCAACATCTGACTATTCACTGTCGTCATCTAAAGTCAATTGTATAAATAAATGAATTATATAAATTAAGTCTACCTAATTGTTATTATCATTTAAATTTATTATCAAAAAGTCTAAATTATTAACATCGTCTCTGAAAAGGTTAAACTGAAAGAAAATGAATAAATAAATAATTCTATGATATAAAGTAAAGACTCGTCGCGAGACTGCGGATTTTTATGCATATTCATGTTTTTAAGAATATAGTTCAAAAAAAAAATAGGACAAAAAATTATTTTACGTGGCATTATTAAGTATCGTGTACGTTATATATTTCTCGTATTATGCGCGCCGTGTGCAATTTCATTGCTATAAAAATTCGCAGTCTACAATTTCTCGCAGGTAATAACATCGTTATTGAACACTAAAGGAGTTATATCCATATTATATCGAAACAATACTTGATTTTTAATTACTCCTTCATTTCGAAAGGAAAGTTTCAACCTACGGGAGCATCTTTCAACCTACGAGCGCAAGATTTGCAAAACGTCGCGACGATATTTTTAGAAGATGAAAGGGAAGGAAACGGGGCGGCTATGGCACGTACACGAGGACTCACTCTTCGGACCATAACGACACCGCGACGCACGCTATTGGATAATTTTCTACGAAAACGAACCGAATATATCGTATATCGAAAAGCAGGAGATTTATTTCGGGTTATAAAAACGGACGGATCACATGGGCCGTGGCCGAGAACCGGGGGATGTAAGGGATGAAGGGGAGGCTGCAGGGAAGGGGGACAAAACAGCAACTTATCGACTCGGCTAGGGTGCATTTTCCATCGTTAAATTCGAAAT